GAGCAGGGATTGGATTAAAAGACCTCCAAGGACCTTTCCAATTCTGTTATTATCTTTGCTTTGTTTTGCCACAATCATTCTATTTCTATTTGCAGATATCTGTATTATTATTGGTGTTGATTTAATCTTCAGTTCGATGCATTATTATTATTGATTTAATCTTCAATTCGATTCATAGTCTGGGACTGGTAAGAATTTAACAGTTCAAGTCCTAACCAAGGACCTAACAACTGAATATGTAGGCCAGTGGTGGCGAACCTATGGCACACGTGCCAGAGGTGGCACTCAGAGCCCTCTCTGTTGGCACACGCACCACCGCAAGCAGCAGGTCCATCAGGCTGCCATCGCCGCCCAGAGCAGGAGACCCACCCAGCACAAAGGAGGCGAAGCGGCCGACTAGCAAGCTCAAGTAGAGGTGGTAAAGCAGAGGTCACCAACCATTGCTGGACTGGAAGAAAAGGGAGGGGGAAGCATTTTGCACTGCAAATGGGGTGGGGCTAGTGCCTGCGTGATACTCACTAGCCCCGCCCCATTCCTGCATGATGCAACACCTTGTATCTGCACCCTGTGATACAGCAGCGGCCGTTTTTGCACCTTGCAGCATGGTGGCCCATTTTTGCGCCCCCCAGTTTTTGCATGCCAGAGGCGGCACTCAGAGGTGCCTTCCTACCCCCCCCCCCAGGGTACCACAATGCTGATGCAGCCCTGGCACTTTGTGATAAATAAGTGGGTTTGGGGTTGTGGTTTGGGCACTCGGTCTCTAAAAGGTTCGCCATCACTGATATAGGCAGTCCCAAGTAAGATTTTTTTTAGGGGGGGATTGGTTTTTTTTTTTTTTTTTTCAAAGTCAGAATATTCAGGTCTAATAAGTTCAAAATCTCCATGTATCTAGGCAACCCTTCAGGTACAGAAAAATCTGGGTTAGACAACATTACCACCAGATGGATTTGTAACTGGCTGACCAACCACACTCAATGTGGTCCTCAATGGAACTGCATCTACATGGAGGGAAGTATACAGTGGGATTCCCTGAGGCTCTGTTCTGGGCCCAGTGCTTCTTCAACATCTTCATCAATGATTTGGATGAGGAAATAGATGGGGAACTCATCACATTGGCAGATGACACCAAGCTGCCAGCAATAGCCAACATTTCAGAAGACAGGCTTAAGATACAGAAGGATCTTCACAGACTTAAACATTGGGCCCTACCTAACAAAATGAAATTCAATGGTGAAAAAAGTAAGCTTCTATATTTAGGCAAGAAAAAACAAATGCACAGGTATAGTATAGGTGGCACCTTGCTCAATAGTAGTAACTGTGAGAGGGATCTCGGAGTCCTAGTGGACAATCACTTAAATATGAGCTAGCAGTGTGCTGCAGCTGCCAAAAAAAGCCAACACAGTGATAGGCTGCATTAATAGAGGGATTGAATCAAGATCATGTGAAGTGTTAATACCACTTTACAATGCCTTGTTAAGGCCACACTTGGAATATTGCATCCAGTTTTGGTCACCACGATGTAAAAAAGATGTTGAGACTCTAGAAAGAGTACAGAGAAGAGCAACAAAGATGATCAGGGGACTGGAAGATAAAACATATAAGGAATAGTTGCAGGAATTGGGTATGTCTAGTTTAATGAAAAGAAGGACTAGGGGTGACATGATATCAGTGTTCCAATATTTGAGGGGCTGTTACAAAGAAGAGGGGAGTCAACCTATTCTCCAGAGCATCTGAAGGCAGGAGAAGAAGCAATGGAGGGAAACTAATCAAGGAGAGAAGCAACCTAGAACTAAGGAGAAATTTCGTGATAGTTAGAACAATTGATCAGTGGAACAACCTGCCTCCAGAAGTTGTGAATGCTCCAACACTGGAAATTTTTAAGAGATTGGACAATTATTTGTCTAAAATGGTGTATAGGGTTTCCTGCCTGAGCAGGGGGTTGGACTAGAAGACCAACAAAGTCCCTTCCAGCTCTGCTCTATTCTGTTCTATTCTATTTGTGGTATTTTGTTAATTTTTTCCAGCTGTTTCTCTTCAATTCGAGCATCACCTGAGATTGCAATATCAATGAACCAGACTTTTTTGTTTTCTACCATAATGATGTCAGGCGTGTTGTGGGCCAGATGTATGTCTGTTTGGATTTGAAAGTTCCACAAGGATCTTGACCTGTTCATTTTCAAGAATTTTGTCAACTTAGTGCTCTCAGTAATTTTTGCTGCATTCGAAACCAAACTTCTGGCAAACCTTCCAATGTATGAGTTTGGCAACTCAATCATGATGTTATAGATAATCAGTTTGTGATTATCAGCCACTGATAAGATGATTCACTCTTTCATCTTTCTCACTGCACAAGTGATATTTGCTGTTGTTACTGAAGTATTTGAATTTTTGCTTTAATGGAATTAGTCAGCAAGGCTTGTTCTTAAGCAGCCAAATTATTATTTAAGATTTAATCTTCAATTCAATTCATAGCTTGGGACTGGTCTTCTTCTTCTTCTCCTCCTCCTTCCTACTGCCTTTAGGACCGCTGCGTGCTTCTGGTTTAACCCAAACCCTAGTTTGCCAACAGAGCGGAGAGGGAGATGGAGAGAGCTTTTTCTTGTTTCTTGTTTTCCTTGTTTCCCACTTTTTCTTCAGAGCTAGCTTTCACTTTGAACCTACCAAAATGATTCTGCTCAATAAAGATCACATTAGAGGACTTAATGGCTCTGGTGTTTTTCTTAGTTCAGCTTTTCAACTGGAGGTTGACATTATTGTTGTTGTTGTTATTCACACAGTCAGCCTGATGTTTGATGGTGTTACAGAGATCATCACAGGATGGAAGCTAAAGCCACCTTTTGCAATTGACTGATGGCAAATTTGTCAATGCCAATGGTATTCAAGTGGTGCTCCAGTTATTTTGGGATTGCATCCAATGCACGTATTACTATTGGTACTACCCTTGCTTGCCTTTGCCATAGTGGCTCTATTTCTATTTGTAAGTCTTTGTATTTTGTTATCATTTCCAGTTCTTTCTCTTCTATTCTGCTGTCTCCAGGCACTGCCACATCCACTATCCAGACTTTTTTGTCTTTCTTATTGACAATTGTTAAGTCTCTGGTGTTATGTGGCAGGTGCCTGTCTGTTTGAATTCTAAAGTCCCAGAGCAATTTAACTTCTTTTAATTCTTTTTCTATGACTTTCTCTATTTTATGGTCCCAGTAATTCTTGCTTGCAGGCAAATGATATTTCTTGCAGAACTTCCAATGCACTATTGTTGCTACTTTGTCATGTTGTTGTTTGTAGTTGGTCTAGGCGAGGGGTAGGCAACTTTGGCCTTTTATGACTTGTGGACTTTAACTCCCAGAGTTCCTGAGTCAGCCATGGGAGTTGAAGTCCACGAGTCATAAAAGAGCCAAGGTTGCCTACCCCTGGTCTAGGCGATCTTGCAGCAGCTTACCAGGTGGTCTACTATTTGTTCAGCTTCTTTGCATAGGTGGTGCTTACTGTCTGTTGCTGTCTTCTCAATTCTGGCTTTGTATGCATTTGTCTGGTCTCTCCAGTAGTCAGTAACCCTTCTTCGTTGTCTTTCAGATATTTTTCCAAAGCCATTTTTTCTTCTTCAACCATTTGACATACTTGCAACATTCCACGCCCACCTATTTGCCTTGATAGAGTCTGTCAATGTCACTGCGAGGATGAAGGACATGATTCATTGTCATTATTTTTCTGGTCTTCGTATCCATTGTTTTTTGTTCTGCTTGACTCCAGTCTACTATTCCAGCTGTGTATCTAATGATTGGAATTGCCCAGGTGTTAATTGCCTTGATGTTTGGACTTTTAAGATTTTCTTCACTCTCTTGATGTATTACCTCTAATCTTTTCCTTGATTTCACTATGGTTAATGTTGTCAGTTTGAAGGATACCCATATATTTGTAGTAATCACCTTCATCCAGATTCTTAATGTTATTTTCGTGAGGCATCTTGATTCCTTCAGATTATTATTATTGTTGTTGTTGTTGATGATTTAATCTTCAGTTTGATTCACTGACTGGGACTGGTAAAAACTTAAAAGTTCAAGTCTTAACCAAGACCTAGGAGCTATTAAGGTAGTGTCTGAGTTTTTAGGTATTATTATTATTAGCCACCCACATTTTTCAGTTTGAGACAACTCTATTACTAGAGCTTATAAAATCTTTGAATTTTTCAGCTAGCAGAGTAGTGTCATCAATATACCACAGAAAATTGATGTTTCTTCCTCCATTTTAAAAACATGCTCATTTTCTTCCAATCTAGTTTCCCTTAATATAAGGTCAGCATGTAGGCTGAATAATTATGGGGAGAATATATAGAGAGAATATATCTCACTCCTCTGCAACCTGGAACCAGTCTGTTTCACCATCTTTTGCTTGTAATGTATCTTTCTAATTTGTTTATAGATTTCATATGAGGACAATGACACGTTTTAGGATTCCCATTTTCTAAATACATTCCACAGTTTGACCAAGTTGGAGGGTCTACAATGAACTTATTTCCAAGTAACTATTTAGAATCGGGGTGTTAGGGTGTTCTGAACAACTAATCCCACGCGCAACATTTTTTCTTCAAAGCGCCGAACAGACTACTAATGACAACAGATGTAAAATTTTTAAGTCAGAGGGAGAGAAAAAACCCTAAGTAGATCAGCTGTAAGAGCAGAGATATCACCTTACTTCCAAACAAGATTCCAATAGCAGCTAGAAAAAACACAGATAAGTACAATAGAGTACAATCCTTTGTGGAGGTTCAAAATTAGAGAAAGCCTTAATATAGTAATTTGCAACAACTCAATTTAAAACACAAAAGTTCAAAATGTATCTTTAAATGGAACAATACTGGCATCCAGTGGCCGTCACAATTATTCAGACTGGAGTAACAAAGCATGTAATAATTCCTTTAGTGATTAATAACATTTGTTAAGTTTGTAATCTAATCTAACCGCTTTAGTTTATATTTTGTTACAACTTGCAACAAAACCTACCTGGTAAAGCAGTGATAAAATCCCTTTGCAGCATGGGCTTTAAGTAGGAATTAATATGTCCATGCTGATAGTGACACATTCGTGAAATGAGGTGTTCCACAAATTCAACCTGATCTGATTCAGACCACTGGTCAAAATACTTAATACACAAGTCTTTTTCCTTTTCGTAGTTTCCTTCAGATGGTCGCTTCCTTGAGACTATTACAGATGAAGTTCCATTGCTTATCTGTTTTATAAAAAAGACAAATAGAAAAAAATTAAGTTTCCTCTTCAACTTTTAGATTACTGTATTACAGATATTCTATTATAGATATTAATAGCAATAGCCTGGTTATCCACATTTTGCATGTGATACATTTAGTCTAAACAGTTTGATTCACTTTCAACAAATACCAACTGGTACGCTCCCCCCCCCCAATCCTGAATGAGAAAATTTCTTATCACCTAATACATTCTTTTTTTTTTTAATTGAAAATTTTTATTTTTTTAAAACATACAATCATTTATAAAAATACAATAAAATTTTAAAATAGAGGACCCCCCCCTTACCCTCTCTCCCTCCCACCCCCACCCCCCCTCCCTTCACTTCCCAGAGCAGAATACAGGGTTAAGAAAAAGAAAGAAAAAGAAAATTATAATAATTAAAAAAAAGAAAAAAAAAGAGAAAGAAAAAAAAATATCATAATTAACCTTTAACTCCATAACTTATAAAACAATTCTCTATAATATTTGATATTCATTCATAAAATAAATAAAACTTTTTAATTCCATATTTTTTCTGAATATAATCTATCCACCTTCCCCATACAGTAATATATCTTTCTTGACCTAATACATTCTTATATACTTGTTTCCATCTGGTTTTCGTTATTAAAAATTAGCAATTGAAATACTGTCACTAGATTTATTCTAATCCTCCTCTCCCAAATACAGAATAAATACTATCATACAGCATCACAGTCTGGTTTGGAGGCATCACTGTTTCAAACAGGAAGGCAGTGCAGAGAGTGGTGAGAATGGCTGAAATTTGGCAGTTCCCTCCCTCCCATCCAGAACATAGCACAGAAGCGCTGCTTGAGCAGGGTCCATAAGATTATCTGGGACACTACACATCCTCTTCACCACCTGTTTTCCTTGTTCCCTTCTGGGAGGAGGCTCCGTGGTATCCAAAGCAGAACATCCAGATTCAGCCAGTTTCATTCCATACAGCATTAACCTTGCGAACTCTCAAGCTTCCTCTTATATATTCAAGATGGACAGTATTTAATATTTATTTGCTACGTATATGTAGGGATGTGAGTCTATAGATATGTTGTTCATAGTATGTTTAGGTGTGTGTCATGTATGTGTTTCACTTTGAGAGCAACTAAATTTCATTTTTGATGTGTGCCGTTGTGCCCACAGCATAAAAATGACAATAAAGGTTATCTTATCTTATTTTCTACATACTTAATAAAATTCTTGACAGTAATTAAAAGTCTTTATCTATTCATCCAGTAACTGTGGCTAAATAAGTTGTTACTAACATTCACCACATACTAAAGTACAAATTTCAGACATATTGTGCAAAGTCTGGACACATTGCACAAAGTTTCACACACATTATGTGAAGGTGCAGCTTTCTGAAAAAGGCTCTGATGCTGAGAAAGGTGGAAAGAATGCAAAGAAGAGGACAACCAACAGCAAAGTGGATGGTCTCAGTTATGATGAAGATGAGTGCCCCATTGGGAGATTTGAAAAGACAGGTTAGGGATGGAGCTATTGGTTGCTAGAAACTGAAAAGGACTTGGATGGCAGATAATCATTCAAAATACAAATATTTGCCGCAATATTTTACAAATTTTATACAAGCAAACTGTTGTTAAGAACTGCCAATTGTTACAAAAAAAGCTCTGATTAAAAAAAAACAGGCTTGAATGGATTAGGTGATGTACCAAATCAGTAAACGTTTCTTTGTCTAACGTATATAAAGTCAAGGACTAATTAAGCATCCTTGTTTGGTATTGTACTGTCTGGGTAGACAAATCTCTACAGCGTGAATACAAGATAAAATAAAAATCAAGCATCAAGCGAATGTTTATCTCCACAGCTATTAATCTTAATGTCAAAAAGGTTCACGATCTCTTCTAGAGATATGTATCTCGATTTTTGTACCTACAGCACCACCTAGTGGCTATAGAGAGCTATGAGATCAGCTGCAAAAGAAAAAAGATCAAAGAGAGTGAAGGGAATTCTGAATATGTAAGCAGAGGATCTGGAATGTAAGGAAGGTGCGCATAAAAAAAGAGGAACCCATAGTATGTATAAACACATCAGATAGTACAGCAGACTAATAAACAACTCTAAAGAAATTTGGTTGAGCTTCTTGGGGCCTCAAGTGATCAAGCAAATATCTTTAGCAATTCTACCTTGTTTAGTATTAGCAAAACAAAAGCTCTTACAGCTGCTCCCTATTCAATAGTGTACTAAACAAAATCAGCATTAAAGAAAACATTTCCACAGCAACTATGCAAATTATTAAAGACAGTATTAAATCTAAGGAAATTTGAATCAAGCCTACCTGCCACAATGTGTTTTTCTTTGGAGACTCATCTTCATTCTGATCCTCCATTACTGACGTGTTCTGGAAAAAAAGAAGAAATACAAGTATGTTTTCTTCTGTGAACATTTCAATATGTCATATCTTTTCTCAGACACACCTGCACACTATACAATCCTACTTAATAGCTATAGTAGCAGCAGAATTGCTAACCACTAGTTAACTTCATCACAAATACATGTATTTATCAAGGGGGGGAGGGAACATTATTTTTAATAGCTGAAATCCAGCATTTCAGGAGAATCCATCTTAAACGAGAGCCTAAAATAAAGTCCTTGATGTCTAATAAAAGCTACTAAACTGCCTATAACACTATCACATTTATCTAACCTTCTCTCCAGACATAAGGTTTGAACTTCAAGTCCAACTTTTCAAAATATATCTATAGCAATAATCAGTACATGAAGCTATACACCAAAGCACGGAAGAAATATCTCATTTGGGGGAAACGAGAGAACAGGAAACATCGAAAAAGTAACAGCAGAAAATAATTCAGACATACAGTCGTGTGAAGAAGTAGCCCCACATAGAGGTTTTTTTCAAGCGTATTTGGATATAGTAATATATTAGCTTCGTTCAAACAGTATATAAAAATAAAAGTGATGTAACTGGACAAAAAACCAGGAAGAATAGATGTTGCAATCATTTATTTAACAACAAATAAACAGACATGCCATTTCCTTCTGTGGAAAAAATAAGGACCCCCTTGGCAGAAACAGAACGTGGCACTGCTCCCTTTGGCAGAAACAACCTAATCTCCTCATACCAGGGGTGGACAATTAATTTTCCCCATGGGGCCACATAACAAACTGGGAGTGTTCTGGAAGGGTGAACCAACAGGGCTAGGTAGATGCATAGGCACATACATACACAAATTGAGGGGGGGGGAGCAGTTTCCTTCAAAATAAAAGCAACCATGGTTGTACTGCATGCGTTCACTTATCCACATTTGATTTCTAACTTCCGACTGACTTCAGGCAAGCTGGCCAGGGGGGCCTGGGGACTGTAAAATACCCAGGTCTGTCTTATACTGTTAACTGTCTAGCAGTCTTTGACATTGACTAGGACAGTGGTTCTCAACCATTTTAATGCCGCGACCCCCAACCGGTCGTAAGTCGAGGATTACTCAGCCGGTCGTAAGTCGAGGACTACTCAACTGGTGGAGCACCGTTTGCAGAATGGGACTTTTGACGGGCTCAGCAGGGCAGAGACAGCCTGGACAATTCCTATTGGCTTTTGAAAGCCAATAGAATTAGACTCTATTCAAGAGAGTCTATTCTGTTGGCTTTCAAAAGCCAATAGAATAAAAGGGAGTAGCACAGCTAAGGAAGAGGGGAAAAAAATGGCAGACTGCGTTGTTTGGCGACCCCCGTGAAATGGTCGTTCGACACCAAATGGAGTCCCGACCCACAGGTTGAGAACCACTGGACTAGGAGGATTTTTTTCCCCCTCCACTCTACTATGTAGGATCTTTTCAACTATGTAATTCATTTCTAGCAACCCTCCATTCCCCAGCCATTCCTTGGTGGATTAACCAGAATGTTTAGGATCATAGTCATGTTGTAAGGCCCACTTTCAGCTGAACTTCAGTCTTCTGACAGTTGTTCTCACATTACCCTCAAGCGCCCTCTGATACAATTAAGAATTCATAGTGGAGTCTGTGATGGAGCCAAGTAGTCCCAAACCAGAACATGCTTTTGGGTTGGTATCAGGTTCTTCTAGTGAAATGTGCTATCTTTGGTTTTCACCAAACATGTAGCCAAATAAATTTTATCTTTGCCTCATCTGTCCAGAGCACGCTGTTCCAGAAGTTCTGATCTTTCCTAAAGTGTTTGTGAGCAAATTTGCCTTGCCTTGATCTTCTTTCTGGATAGCAAAGGTTCCTTTTTAGAATACCTCCCATGTGGATCCAATTTGCACAAATTCTTTATGATGGTAGACATGCATTTAGATTATCAACGGAAGCAAGAGCTCCCGTAGATCCCAGCATGAAATTCTAGGGTTCTTATTAGAGATTTCTTTTAGCATCTTGTCTTCTGCTCTTGATCTGAACTTGCTGAGGCAGTCTGGGCAAGTTGACAGTTGTTTAAAAACTTCTCCACTCATAGAAGACCTTCTGGACAGTGGAATGATTGATGCCCAATTGTTTGGCCGTCTTTTAAAAACCTTTCCCAAGCTCAAAGGCATCTATAAACTATCTGCAGGTCTCGGAGAGCATTTTCAATCTAAGTCTGGTGATACCACATGCTTTAACAACAAAGAGCCACTCCAACTAAATGTCTTGAGGTTTCAGCAAAACAGGTTCCTCTCTAATGATGTTCTAATCATTTGCACTTGATGTGGTGCACTTGATTCTAATTTTAGATATTTCAAGCAGTGATAGATGTACAGGTAGTTCTCTATTTATGACCATTATTTAATGACCTCTCAAAGTTACGATGGTGCTGCCATAAAGAAGAGGGAATTAAGCTATTTTTCAAAGCACCTGAAGGCAGGACAAGAAGCAACGGGTGGAAACTAATCAAGGAGAGAAGCAACCTAGAACTAAGGAGAAACTTCTTGACAGTTAGTACAATTAACCAATGGAACAACCTGCCTCCAGAAGCAGTAAATGCTCCAACACTGGAAGTTTTTAAGAAGAGACTGGACAGCCATTTGTCCGAAATGGTGTAGGGTTTCCTGCCTGAGCAGGGGGTTAGACTAGATGACCTCCACGGTCCCTTCCAACTTTACTGGAAATTATTACTAGTGACTTAAGACCAGTCCTCATACTTTCAACTGTTGCAGTATCCCTACAATCATGTGATCAAAATTGGGGGGGGGGGTTTGGCAACCAGCATGTATTTAATGAGGGTTGCAGCAAATGGCGATTGCCATTTTCAACCTTCCCAGGAGACTTCCAACAAGCAAAGTCAACGGGGGAAGCCAGATTCTCTTAACAACCATGGGATTTACTTAATAACCATGGAGATCCATTTAACAGTTGCAGCAAAAAAAAAAAATGACTGCATTGCTTAATGACAAACATTCAATTGTAGTCATAAGTTGAGGACTATCTGTAGAGGTATACCTATTCTTCCTACATGAAAAAATTTGCATCTAGATTTACTTAAGTTACACAATGGACTACAAAATTTAAGTGGTGCGTGATAGTTATTATATGATATCCCTTTATCTATCAATATTGCTGAAGATCAAACCCCTGTATGTTGAAATACGGTGAAAAGGTCAAAAAGCTTTGACCAACCTTTTCTTCATATGACAAGCGTTTAAACGTGTTTCTACAGTGCAATGGCTTAATTGTGCATCACGTGCTATCCCCTCCTGACATGAGACCCCAATATGAAGGGGAACAAAGATCAGGTTCAGTGTCCACAGCTGCTTCCTCCCTCTGCCATCCCCAAAGAGAAGCAGTAGGTTGTACATAGTGGCTTGAACGTATGCTGAACGTCACATGCAGAATGGCACCAAAGGATTTGAAAGCCAGCGACAAATGAAGAAGTTTCGAGGATATTATAACTGAGTCTTGACTGCATTCCAATTTCCAACAGCATAACAACAGTCACAGAACATCAGCCCTCCCGGGTAAACTAGACAGGAAAAAGGGCTACATGAACAAATTCTACTTTATTATAAATCTAGAGCCGAGGTGGCGCAGCAGTTAGAGTGCAGTACTGCAGGCCACTTTAGCTGATTGTGTTCAGCAGGTCAGCGGTTCAAATCTCACCGGCTCAAGGTTGACTCAGCCTTCCATCCTTCCGGGGTAGGTAAAAGGAGGACCCAGATTGTTGGGGGCAATGTAAATATATATATATACACATTGCTTACTGGTGTACACCGCTTAGAGAGTGCTTGCACTTAAAGCGGTATATAAGTCTCATAAATAAATAAATAAATAACAGAATCTTTCAGTTTTGGAAGCACCAACTTCCTGGCTCCAGTTTCAACTGCTTCAGCTGTTAGGGCAGGTCCTTCCTAAATTTTGTTTTCTGACTGTTAAGCCGCTGGAGGCTTCTGTCTCTCTTGTCTGATTATTTCCTAGGCAGCATCTCTTCCCTCTGTTCCCCAACGTAATTCACACATTCCATTATATAGACATACATAAGACTGAAAGAAACTATTATTAAAATTGGTTTGCTAGTTGCTCCCCCCCAAGACATACCAGTCTGTTCCCCAAAACCTGTGGGCATTTTTTTTTTAAATTGCACCCAGTTAGTCCAAACTGAAATTTCTAACTATGCAAACCACCATTTACTTCTACCTATCTAACAAATAACATCTTAACAACTGGTATTAGGAAAAGCTGTGAGATATGAAACCTCTATTTTCCAAGTCACCAGAAATCACACCAACTCTGACAGCAAACATTATCCACACTTCCAAATCGATTTTCATTTGCAGTCACATTTTGTATGTGGCAAGTGTTTCACGACTAGTGAGAAACTGTTTAAGGAAAAATGCAACCTCAGGTGACAACTCTACACCTAGCTTTTCAGTTAGATCCACAAAACACGATTTCTTCTACACTGCTGCTCCCATTTTGTTTTCCTCATGAGAAGCAACTGTCTGGGGCACTTGTGGGTGATCTCAAGATCTCTCTTTGTCTGGAAGGAAGATATAAAGAGCAGCCTACTCAGCTCTTCATTTCACCACAAGTCATTAGCTTCACTTTTAGCACCGCAGTCTTTATTTCTTCCCCAGAAGTCTGTCTACAACCTATCTTAAATGACTACTTTACTCTGGAGCTGAGCAGTCTCTTTCTAATGAACCTGACTGACAATAAATTATTTTATAAGTCATTTATTAACATCATCAACAAACACAAAAGATAAAAGTATAATTAAAATAGCAATTTGCAGAGAGGGAGAGAGAGGGAAAACAAACACATTAAATCAGTGGTTCTCAACCTGTGGGTCGGGACCCCATTTGGGCTCGAACAACCATTTCACGGGGGTCGCCAAACAACGCAGTCCGCCATTTTTTTTCCCCCTTCTCCTTAGCTGTGCTACTCCCTTTTATTCTAT